TTCTCTCCAGGGCGTGTGTCTACTTGAGGTAAATGTTTAACTCACATGCCTGTACTTTGTTTGGCTGGAAACCACAGTTGTGGGTTCAATTCCAGCCCTGAAGGGCAGCTAGGGGCCATAGTCTCAGTGGTTACACCAGGCTCTATTGGACCAGCAATGGACCTCTCTCTTTGCAGACTGGCTTTAGAACGGAGCAGCTCAGCCCAGGAAGCCTTGAATGTGATCACAGGCCTGTTGGAGCGCTATGGGCAGGGGGGCAGCTGCCGGGAGGACCCCACGCCATTCTGCTACCACAACACCTTCTTGCTGGCTGACCGGACTGAGGCGTGGGTGCTGGAGACAGCTGGGCAGCTTTGGGCTGCCCAGAGGATCCAGGGTGAGGAGCCTGGCACCGAGGCCTGCTTCCCAGAGGTGTTCTGCCTGCACCAACCTTGGGAGAGTTTAGAGGAGATGGTGGGGGCAGGGAGAGGCCGCAGTCCAAGAGCAAACCTCTCAGAGTGGCTGGGACATTCAGGGATGTGGGCCCATTCAGGACCTCTCCCCCTTTCACTTGGTTAGTGCCACCTGTACTTCAGGTTGCTGCTCTGGGAAGGTTTCTGGCTTCCCTGGGTGGTCATATTTCCCCCTTACATGCCAGGAAGTACCTCTTCTTCTTCTTCTTTTTTTTTTTTTTAATTTTTATTGTGATTTGGGTGAAAGTTTACAGAGCAAATTTGTTTTCCCTTCAGCAGTTCATACACATTTTATTTCATGACATTGACTGCAATTCCGCACAATGTAACAGCTCTCTTCCCACTTCCTCTCCCCCATAAATCTCTTCCCTGTGTCCTTCCCTCCCATGCACTCCCGACCCTCCCCCTACAGCTGTCTCCTTGTGCAGACACTGCCCTTCTGATCTCCCATGATTGATTGCTCCAAGGAGTATAATATCTACCTGATGTAAATGTTCACCCCATATGCCTGTCTGTTGTTTGTCTGGAAGCCACAGGAGTGAATTTATTTCCAGACCTGAAGGGTAACTAGGGGCCATAGTCTCAGAGGTCTTACCAGGCTCTATCAGACCAACAAACCTGGTCTTTTTTTTTTAAAAATGATTTTGAGTTTTGTTTTACATTGTTCTCCCATTCTATCCAGAAGCACTTCTTCATCACACTCACCATACTGTGAGCTTACCTTGGATTTTGTGATTGTATTCTTCATCTCTCCACCACAGACACATACCCTAGGCTTCGGGAGGGCTGGTCTATCGCCTTCACTGTCATGTTCTTACCAACCACCCCAGTGGTTGGCACATACTAGGTGCTCAACAAACATTTCAGATGAATAAATGAACCACCTCACCTATCTCTTCCACAGAGGGGGCCCGGAACATCTCCAACCAGCTGAGCATTGGCACGGACATCTCTGCGGAACACCCTGAGCTGCGGGCCCATGCCCAGGCCCAGGGCTGGTGGAGTGGGCAGGGCACCTTTCACTTTGCCCAGGTCTTCTCCCTGACCCAGCAGCCTGTACGCATGGAGGCTGCCAAGGCCCGCTTCCAGGTTGGGCGGGAGCTGCTGCAGCAACAGCAAGGTTTTTTTTTTTTTAAATTGTGCTGTGGGTGCACATTTATAAAGCAGATTTGTTTTACATTCAACAGCTCATGCACATTTGATTTCATGGCCCTGATTACCATCCCCAACCATAAAAAACACTCCTCCCCTCCCCTCCCTGTGACTACCCCCTCCCTGTGCCCCTCTTATCTAAGCATTCCTGTGTCCAGCTTTCCCTCTATGGGAATGCTGCCCCTCTGATGTCTCATGGCTGAGGGGTGCGTCTCCCTAGCATAGGTGGGTGTATTGTCCTGGGGTAGGTGTTCTGCATGTAGGTCTTTCTGTTGTTGGGCTGAGAGCCAATCTATAGAAGCAAGTCCATTTCTAGGCCCAAAGGGTAACCTGGGGCCATTGTAGCAACAGCAAGTTTTGAGTGGCTACATGAGGGTGGGAGCTAGCTGCTGTCCCCTCTTCCATCTTCGGGTGGGGGCTTGGTCTGTGGGTGGAGCACCCCACTCTTGTTCTCGGCAGGGGCCATCACTGCAGAAGTGATGATGGGCATCCTCAGGAACAAGGAGAGTGGCATCTGTATGGATTCTGGAGGCTTCCGCACTACAGCTAGCATGGTCTCCATCCTACCCCAGGACCCGACACAGCCCTGTGTCCACTTCCTCACGGCCACACCAGACCCTTCGAGGTGAGAGTGGGATGAGTGGGAGTGTGTACTGGTCAGGGGAGCCTGAGGGGTATCATGTCCCTCAATCCTTCTATCTGTGTCCCATTAGGTCAGTGTTCAAACCTTTCATCTTTGGGGTGGGGGTAGCCCAGGCCCCCCAAGTGCTGTCCCCAACTTTTGGAGCACAGGACCCTGCTCGAACTCTGCCCCGATTCCAGACTCAGGTGGATCGCCGTCACACCCTCTACCGGGGACACCAGGCAGCCCTGGGGCTGATGGAGAGAGAGCAGGTAACCTCCAGGGGGTAGGGGCTAACCCCCAACTGGACCTCTGGACACATCAGAGGGGCCTAGGTGTGGAGGAGAGGCTCCACTCCACTTTGAAGTTCCTTCCTTCAAAGTCAGCCTGCCCAGGAGACTTGTCTGGTGGTCTGTCCTTCCTCCTGCTTGTGCAAGGGATTCCCCCTTCACCTCAGGGGAAGCCTGTCCCAGGGACTCATCTCTGCTTTTCCTGCAGGATCAAGGGCAGGAGCTCCAGCAGAAGCAGCAGGCTCTGGAACAAGAAGGCCTGGAGGCTGCAAGGGGGCTGCTGACTGGACAGTGGGCCCCACCACCCCAGGAGTGGGGCAGGCTCTTCCAGACGTTTGTGGAGAGGGAGAGCCAGGTGTATGCCTAAGCACTGCAGCCCCTTCCTTGCTTGGGGTGCAGGACCAGAACAGTCACTTCATGCCCCTCAACCTTGTCCCAAGGGGCCAGCTCAGCCTTTGGCTTAATAAAAATATTTTACTTTCATGTTTTGTCAACTTGATCCCAGGTCCGTGGGGGTGGGAGAGCCACATGAGGGCAAAGGGTAGCCTTGAGCTAGCAGTTGGGCCTTTGGTGGCCTTGCTGGGCAGCTCATTCTTATGAGTCAGGTGATGGTGACTGGATGGTAAAGCTTGTGGAGTGGGTCTGGAGTAGGGGCTTCTTGCGTGGGTGAATGTGTGAGAGCGCAAACAATGCCCAGCACAAAGTTAGGGTAACTTCTTAGCCACAGCCAACCACCCTAAGGGAATGAGTCCTTGGGCCTGTGGGCTTGGGACCATGGTGTTAGGGGTCATCAAGCTTAGTTGGCATTACATGCTACACAAAAACATCGTTTTACATCCCACTTTGGTGATTATTGACTTGAAAGCTTGCAAGTGGCCATCTATGATGCAACAATTGGTCTCTCCTTGTCTGGAGCAAAGAAGAATGAAGAAAACAAAAAATACATGGAAACAATTAGTCTAAGGGACTAGTGGACCATTTGAACCTCAGCCTACATGACCAATGAGACCAGAAGAACTAGATGATGCCTGATTATCACTGTCAACCACTTGGAAAGGGATCAGTGTAGGAGATCCTGGATAGAGTGAGACAAAAATGTGGAACAAACTCAAGATCATAAAAAAAAGACCAGGCTTACTGGTCTGATAAGAAATTGGTGAAAGCCCTAAGACTATGGACCTTAGTCATCTTTCAGGCCTGGAATTGAACTCACCCTCATGGCTTCCAGCCAAACAATGTTGTTGTTGTTGTTATGTGCCGTCGAGTCGGCCCCGACTCATAGCGACCCCTCCTTGGGTTTCCGAGGCAGTATCACTACGGAAGTAGGATTGCCCAACCTTCCTTCCGAGGAGTGGCTGGTGGGTTTGAACCACCAGCCTTCTGGTTAGCAGTCAAGTGCTTTTAGCCACTATGCTACCAGAGCTCCTCCTAGCCAAACAATAGACAGGTTTATAAGGTGAACTTTTACACCAGGTAGGTACACTCCTTAGAACAATCAATCACAGATCAGAAGGGCAGCATTTTCAGGGAGAGTCCAGAGGGCAGGAAAGCATAGGAAAGGAGGACACAGGGAAAAGGTGTGTGCAGGGAGGAAGTGGGAAGAGAGCAGTTACATTATGGGGATTACAGTCAATGTCATGAAACTAAATGTGTATGAACTGCTGTGTGGAAAAAGGATTTGCTCTGTAAACTTTCACCCAAATCACACACACACACACACACACACACACAATCTCTAAAAATGTGAAAAAAAAAAATGCTCAGCACACTGAACCCAAACTAAATCCACTGCCATCAGTCAATTCCAACTCATAGCGACCCAGGAGGACAGAGTAGAACTGCCACATAGGGTTTCCAAGGCTGTAAATCTTTGTGGAAGCAGACTTCTTCATCATTCTCCCATGGAATAGCTGATGGGTTCAAACTACTGACCTTTTGGTTAGTAGCCAAATGTCTTATTCGCTACGCCACCAGAATGCCTTCCCAACACGTTAGTGGCTACTATCAGCAAGAACTGGAACCTCAGGGTTTGATTCTTGGCCTAGAGCTCGGGAAGACACTCCCTGGAAGTGGTAGTGAGATTGGGCCCACCGTGAGATGGTGTCTTCTGCAAGGTGGTGCCCACCTCCTATCATACAGAGTCAAGAAGCCAGGAGGTGAGCCTGAGAGAGTATGCCTGAAAAATTAGAAACTTGGTCTTTAGATCTGGCTGCTCCTGAAAGTCTCTCCTGGGGCTGTTTCCCAGTGCATTATTGATGGCAGCCCCTGAGATGAGATGCCTCCCAGTGACATGAAGACATGTATTCATGGCCCAGAGACTTTATTGGGGGTGAGGGATATGAGGGCAAGGGGAGGCCCCATCAGCATCTCCTTTGTTTCTGTAGCTTTGCTGATAGACAGGCCACACTTTATTTCTTGACTTTCTTGGTCATAATTTTGGTTGTGCTGGGGGCCCCAGTCAGGGAGGCCTTGGGAGCCGCAGCTGCCATGGCCCCCTTCTGTGCCTGGCCTTGCTGGCCCTGGGAGGAAGGCTTCTTGGTGGTAGAGTATGTTCGTGGTGAGAAGGTGGGCTCACTGGGGGTCTTCTTCCCTTGCCCAGGAGGGACTGGAGTGCTGCTTTCCCCAGCCATGGGCTCCTCAGGCAGCATGGGGAGGTTCGTGAGTGCGAGCTGGGTCTCCATCCTCAGGAGGTGCTCCGTCAGGGCTGCCTGCTGCCTGCGTTCCTTGTGCCTGGTTATCTCCTGCTCCAGGTCCTTGAGGAAGCCTGAGAGGGGCCAGGGTGGTAGATGTGCCTGGGCTCAGGGAGAACCTCCCTCATCATGTCCCTAGTGGGAAGCACCCAGGTCACCTGCATGCCCAAGATGGATTCCTGCCCTGACTGCACTGTCCACCACCTCTGGCCAGATGCTGATCTGTATTTGGGCCACCATCTTAGCTTCCCACCCCCCACCTCCCTGCCAGAGGGTAGGATGGGCTCTGGGGAGGCTGCAAGGACAGAGGGTCACCTTGCTCTGAGCAGAACGGGCCACTCAGCTCTGGGAAGTCCTCGTCCTCATCACCGGAGGCTTTCTCCTCCTCATCTGAGGCCCAACGCTCTGGCACGGGCTGCCCATCCAGGTCCAGGAGCAGCGGCAGGGCTCTTGTCACCATCTCTCTGCAGGGTGGAGAGAAGAATGGCTGCCCAGGAAGGCCCTGGGTGGGGAGTGTGGCAAGATGCAAAGACACAGCCACAGCCCCCCAGCTCCAGGAGTGGTGGTCCACAAGCTAGGTGACAGAGCCTGTGGCCAGCCCCAAAGGGCTAAGGGCTGGATCCATGTGGAGTTAGGAGGATGGGAAGGAAAGGGGCAGACTCAAGCTGAGATGGAGGAGGAGAAGGTGCCATGGAAGATGGCCCCAGGTTTGCAGGTGGAGAAGGAGCCCATATGGAGTGAGCAAGTGGCTCTCAGCATTACTCTCTCCTCCCCTCCCTCAACTCCTCACCTGTAGCCATTCTGCTTGGTGCAGCTATTTCCGGTCAGGTTGAGAATGAGAAGGCTCTGGGGGAACTCATCTGCACATACCAAAGAGAGGGAGGATAAGGTGCTCAAACCTATTTTCCAACCCAAAGCTCCTCTGCACAGCCCCCTGGAGCCCCTGGAGAATGAAGTGTGTTGGTGTGAGGGGTGCAGATAATGCATGCACAGGGATGTCGGGACAGAAAGGAGGGAAGGCCCCACATGGGACTTATTCCCGGAGCCAGGACGAAAGCGTTCCTACCCAGCTTCAGCGTTTCTATCAGGTTCTCAGAAAGGTCCAGAAACTGGAGGTGTGGGAGATCACGGAGGTTTTCCACCTGCCTGATACGATTTCCTGCCAGAGACAGGAAGCTGTAGGGGAAAGGAAGGGGGCAGAGACAGAGCTTAATCACAAAGCCGCTGTAGGGAGGAGGGCACCAGGCACTTGGGTCCACTAGCTAAGCAGCTGATGGTGAGTGGGGACACAGGGCCTTTCTGGAGTGAGGGAGGCAGAACTAGGCTTGCTGGGCTCTCAGCTGGCAAGGAGCCAGGCTTGTGAAGGTCTGAGCCAGTTCCTTGGGGTGTTGGGTTCTCCACCCCCACCCCTGCCATACTTACCGCAAGGAGGGGATGCAAGCCAGGTTCTCAATTTGCTGGATCTTATTCTGCAGGAAGAAATCAAGGTGGGAAAACCAAGCTGAAAGGAGCTCTGGTGGTGTAATGGTTAAGGTGCTTGGCTGCTAACCAAAAGGTCAATGGTTTGAACCCACCAGCTACTCCATGGAAGAAAGATGAGGCAGTCTGCTTCTGTAAAGATTTACAGCCTTGGAAACCCAAGGGGGGTCACCATGAGCCGCCGTCAACTCGATGGCAGTGAGTTTTTTTTTTTTTTTTAAAACCAAGCTGAGGTCAGGTGGAGAGGGGTGGAGCTTTAAGGGGACAAAATCTCCAGGCCATGTCTCTCTACACTTGCACCTGGAGATCTAGCACTTTGGGAATGATCACCCTACTCCTTGAAATGGTTGTCACTACCTGGGGGTGTTTTACTTTCTCCAGGTGGCTGAATAAGGGTGGTAAGGTTGGCTAAACTTGATTAAAGAATTCTGTTCTGAACTCGCAACCAAAGAGTGACCTAGGAATCCCAGGGGAAACTAAATGACCACAGAGAAATGGAAAAGGCCCTGGTGCTGTGCATACTGGGATGGAATAATAAGCATGTATTACTTTGTTTTGTAAAGTGAGAAAAGGTTCAAGGAGCTGGGTATACTCAGCCTGGATAAGGCTGAAGACCAACCAACCAAGCAACCACCATCAACAATAAATAGCCTTCAACATTTTGAAAAGTATACAAGAGTCTGCTTAATTTTTTTCTTCTTCGTCTTCAAAACAGGAAATAGGTTTGAGCTTTATAACATGAGAGACTTAGGTAGATATCAGAAATCTAGACCAAGAAGAGCATATGATACAATAACAGTGCTTCAAGAGTTTGTTCAGGATCTCTTTTTGGGGGATGGAGAACATCAGTATTTCAATTCAGGAGAACCGATTTAGCTGGGGACTTGGGGGCTGGAGGGCATCAGTGTTTCAATTCAGGAGAACCAATTTAGCTGGGGACTGTTTAAATGAAGGCCAGTTGGTCTAAATACCAGGGAATGGTCAAGATGGCCTGGTCGGTTCCTTGCCGATTAGACAGACCGAGTTCATGGTGTGGGGGAGGTGGTAAGGGGAGAAAGGAGGCAAGAAGTTACCAATTGCAGATAGAGGCTGTGAATATTCTGGAGGCTCTCCAAATTCCTGATAAAAGTAATCCCCTCACGGTCCAGGCGGACAGTCTGCAGTTCAGCAAGAGTGTGAAACCTGGGAGGAAAGTTGGCAAAGTGGTGTAATTGAAGATTCACCATTTCTGTGGACTTAACAGAGAAGATGGGAAGGGGCGGGGGGAGAGGCAAGGTGTTTCAATGAGAGTTAGACGGCTGAGTGATTTTTAAAAAAAATTGTGGTAAAGATATAGGTAACATTTCCCATTTCAACAGTGTTCACATGTACAGTTTAGTATTATATATGTTCATCATGTTGTTCAACCATCACCATTAACCATTCTCAAATATTCCCATCACTGGTAACAGAAACCCAGTGTCCTCTAAATGGTTGAGTGATTTTGATTAGCTGCACATTACCATGGGATGTGTGGAGTAAGTAAAACCCACTGCCATCCAGTCGATTTCTACTCATAGCAACCCCCATTAGGTTTCCTAGGCAGTAAATCTTTATGGAAGTAGGTTGCCTCGTCTTCTTTCCTCGGAGTGGCTGGTGGGTTTGAACCACCAGACTTCTAGTTAACAGTCAAATGCCTTAGGCACTGCACCACCAGAGCTCCTTAGAGTAAGTAGAGGGACACAAAGGTGAGTTGACAAATCAGGACAGCTCAGCCGATCACCCTGTGCATTTCAATCTTCCAGCCTCCCTGCCCTCCTCGTGAACTCACATCTTCTCGGACAGATCCTCATCCTCAGGGAAAGTCAAGTTCCGCTTAGTGATAAGGGCTTCAGTGATGCAGATGCCTCCTTCCTCTGGACTCGGAGCAAGCTCAGCTGTGAAGATATGAGACCAGTTTTCACATTTCCTCATACCAGGAGGCCAGACCCCACTATTGTCCAACTGTTCTATCCACCATCCCACCTCCCTACTCACTTCCAGGCATGATCTAAAAGGCTGCTGGCCTGGGGCGGGCGAGGAAGGAAAACGGGCGGAGCAGCGTGGATGGTCAGTGGGATGGTGGAACCCAGGATGGTATGAGGAGAAGCTCAGAAACTCGGAGAACAAGGGAAAGGCGTTAATGTAGAGTAAATTGTTGGGATGAGGTTGAAACAAAAGTAAACGGAGATCCTAAATCCGGGGCTTGAGGGAAGTGGAGAGGGTTCGTTGGCAGCAACTGGAGGATTATGAACAGCGCGCGGCGCGAACCGAAGGCAAGGAAAAGGCAGTTCCTAGTTTCTGGCGTTGTTGCTAGGAGACCGGACGCCAGATGGGAGGAGAGGGCAGGGTAACAGTTGACGACTCAGCGCATGCGGACTACTGCTTTGACCGGTGGATCCGCCCACTGCTTCCGTCCACAGGGTTCGATGCCCCATAATCCTTAGCTCTTTCCGTCTCCTCTCGGTTCCCGTCTGTTGCTTCGGTGGTGATGGCTGCGCCAGTGGTTGGGATCTTAGTAGGGGGCCTCCTGCCGCAGGCGGGTAAGGAGCTACCCAAATTCTGCCGGCGCGATCCAGCCCGCGGTCTCTAGCCCTCATCGTCTGTCTTCTACTACTGATTCCTTCCCATAATCTCTAACCCAGACAGTTCCCAGTGACCCTGGCTACATCTCCAGCTTCTTTCCCCACATAGTTCGCTCTGACTCGAGTAACAGTAATAACAACAACAGTTATTTGTTTCCTACACCCCAGACCTTCCCCTTCTTTGAGTTTCTCTAACTTACCCAGCTCTTGCCCACCCCAGAGTTGTTTTTGTTTGAACACAACCCCTCTCCACCTTAGCGATTTACCGTGAAACCTGTCAGAGCCGGAACTCGACAGGACTGCCTTGTTTTTTTGGGTCTCGGAAGTTTTCCGCCTTTGACAAGGTGTTGTCTTACCACTTTTCTATGCCTCGTCTTGGTGGAAAATATTTGCGTTTTCCTTCTCTGACAGATTTCTACCTTAAACAGGTTCTTTTCTCAGGTTTTACTGTACCTCCTTTCTATTCCTGAGGCCTCAGCCTAAATGGCACCTCCTCAGGCCCTCCCTCATCACAAAGCAAGTTCCGCTGTTAATCTCTGTCTTGCACCTGTTTCTTAACCCCTCCTTTAGTCTGTATCACAATCTAATTTTGCATTTATTTATTCGCTTGTCTTCATTATACTAAAACCTTCCAAAGGGGAGAACCACGTTCATTCAGCATAGCTGCCAGGCGGCATGGTGTGTGACATTAGTTGTTGTTGTTGTTGTTATTTGCCGTCGAGTCAGCCCCGACTCATAGCGACCCCTCCTTGGGTTTCCGAGGCAGTATCACTACGGAAGTAGGATTGCCCAACCTTCCTTCCGAGGAGTGGCTGGTGGGTTTGAACCGCCATCCTTCTGGTTAGCAGTCAAGTGCCTTAGGCACTATGCTACCAGAGCTCCCATTAGTAGGCATGCAATAGATATTTGCTTAATGAATGAATTTAAGTGCTTAGTATACACCAGGCACTGTAATAAATGTTTTATATGCATTCCAGACAAAAAAACAAACTCACTGCCACTGAGTCGGTTTCAACTCATAGCGACCCCTCCTTGGGTTTCTGAGGTAGTCCTGCTACAGAAGTAGATTGGCCAACCTTCCTTCCAAGAAGTGGCTGGAGGGTTTGAACCACCAACCTTGTGATTAGCAGTAAAAGCCTTAGACACTACACCACATGCATTATCTCATTTAAATCTTGAAGCACCCTAAGAGGAGGGCATTATTATACCCTCTTCACAGATGCGCAAACTGAGGTTCACAACAATTGAGTGACTGGTCAAGGTTACAGCTGGGAATGGTGGAAGAGAGACTGAAATCTGGTTTCATTTGATGTCAGAGCCTGTGCTCTTAAAGGTTGTATTTTATGCCATTGGCAATAAAGCCTCTTATGCTAGCAAACCTCCATGGTCTTTGACGGTGTTAGTGCCGCCTTCTAATGAAGTCTTTTCCTGAGATCCCATCCCAACTTTGCAAAGGATGGAAGGTGGGAAGTGCTAGCCTCAGCTCTTAGAGATCCCTTTGGTGCAGGGCTTTCAGGTGGCTCCTTTGTTTCTGAAGGGTGCTGTCCAGCTGATGCCTCAGAGCAGGAGGAGGAGTACGGAAGTAAGGAAAGGACATTTGTTTAGGAGAACCGCAAGCTTGATGTAACTTTTTTTTCTTGCTTCAAATCATGAGAGAAGGCGTCAGAGTAATGTTTAGAGTAAACCAAAAACCAAGCCAAATCCACTGCCATCGAGTCGATTCCGACCCATAGCGACCCCCATTGGGTTTCTGAGGTGGTAAATCTTTACGGAAGTAGATTGCCCAGTCTTGCTTCCATGGAGTGGCTGGTGGGTTTGAACCACTAAACTGGTTAGCAGTCAGATGCCTTAGGCACTGTGCTACCAGAACTCCTTAATGTTTAGAGGCAGTGGTTTTCAAATTTTAGCATGCATCATCGCCACATGGACGGCTTGTTAAAATACTGTTTACTGGGCCCGTCCCCAGAGATTCTGGTTCAGTAGGTCTCTTCCCAACTCATGCTAATCAGTCCAGGGACTAGACTTTGAGAACCACTGGCTTAGACCAAGGTTTGGCAAACTATTTCAGGGCTGGCCACCTGTTTTTGCTGGTAAAGTTTTACTGGAACACAGCCACACCTGTTTGTTTACATATTGTCTATGGCTGCTTTCATGATACAGTGGCAGAGTTGAGTAGTAGTGGTAGAGATTATGGCTCCCAGACTTAAAATATTTACTGTTTGGCCATTTAAGAAAAAATTTGGCCACTTTTTCACCCCTTTTTAATGTTGTTGTTGTTATGTGCCGTTGAGTCTGACCCGACTCATAATGACCCCTCCTTGGGTTTCTGAGGCAGTATCACTACGGAAGTAGATTGCCCCATCTTCCTTCCGAGGAGTGGCTGGTGGGTTTGAACCGCCAGCCTTCTGGTTAGCAGTCAAGTGCCTTACTCCTTTATTCGTTTTTCTCCCCCATCTCTTCACATAAAGAAGAGCTGGAGAAATGGGATCCTCCAGGGACCAAGTGATAGACCTAGAGTCACCCATTAAAACAGAGGAAGAAGTTTGGGAAGTTAGGATTTCTGGCAGGCAATTCTTTGTCCTACTCTTGTGCTGAGTCTGGCTCTGTAGCCCTTGTCTCTGCCAAGAGAGCCTGCTCTTTCTCCTTCTGTGGCTAACTAGGGCCTCTATGAGGCTGCATCTCACCCATGTTGCCATCTCCCCTCCCAGGCCGGCTGCCCACCCTCCAGACTGTCCGCTATGGCTCCAAGGCTGTTACCCGCCACCGTCGTGTGATGCACTTTCAGCGGCAGAAGCTGATGGCTCTGACTGAGTATATACCCCCCAAACCTGCCATCAACCCAAGATGCCTGCCACCTCCTCCCAGCCCTCCCCAGGAGGTAAGGGGGAGAATGGGTATACCATCACCAGGTGGTGGGATGGTGGATTAAAGTGATCTAATGAAGGAGGGCTCTAGGCCATAGTCACACTCCATTTCTCCACTGTGACCCCATGGTCCAAGTACTTTAAAGTCAAATCTCTGCTTGATTTTGTATTGGCCTTTGGGCTCTGTGTATTGAAAAGGCTTGCTGAATATGCTTGGTTCTTTACTTGTCTCCAATAAGGTATGTGTGAAAGCTTTCCAAGCAGATGAGCGTAGAGCAAAGTATCTCTCTTGTCCTGAAAAGCTTCTACATTTTTTGGAGGAAAGATAGAGATTCTTTGTCCTTAAAAAAAGAATAGGAAGACCAGTGGAGGATTTGCAGCTGTAATGATGGTACCTGTTACCGTAAGTACCTAATAAATTCTAGTTTTCTAGTTATCTAGTGCTGTTCCAGGACAAGTTAACTGTCTTCTCTGACCAAAGCTAGAGTGTGGGGACCTGAGCAGTAACTGCAGACTGAGGGATTTCAGTCAGATGCCAGATAGTCAGAGAAGTGCTAATATGAGTCATTCAGCAGAAATTCCTCCAAGATTGCCAGAAGGATTCAATCCGTCCATCTGGGCTTTGTCCTGAAAGCAAAGAGCTGTCTTAAATGAGTCTGGAGCATCAGCCTAGAGAGTGGTACTTGACAAACTATATTTCAGTGGCTGGGACTCTTTCAGCAGGACTTAAGCTTTTGCTCACCTAAAACTGATTAACAGCATCTCCCCTCCCCTGCAACTCAGATAAAAGTAGTCATTGGATAGAGTTTTCCCAGTTCAATTTTTCTCACATAGCCAATGGTGCCTACTCCCTTATCATTATTCTGTAATCTAGACCTGTGTCATGCAGGTCTGGGGTGATGGGAATATTGTATGTCTGCACTGTCCAGTATGTAGCCACCAGCCGTATGTGGCTGTTGATCACTTGAAATGAGGCTCGTGTGACCACAGTGGATTTCTCACTGTATGTGATTTTAACTAAATGTGAGTAGTCACGTGTGGCTAGTAGCTACTATTTGGATGGGGGACCTAGAGCCCAGATTGAGCACGATGGTGAGTCTTCCATTATTTTAACTTGTACCTGTTAATATTTTCATGAAACTCTGCAAAGATCACCCTGACTTCCAGGCACTCCACTGTGTAAGTAAATTTTTGGGTCTTTACTTTTTGGGGAGAAAAAAAACCTCTTAAACAGTGTTTAAGGAGGCCTGTGAATATATTCTTGAGTCCTTAAGTTCTCAATGATGAGAAACACTGTCTTTAAAAAACAAAAGAAGTCTCATTCTGTAAAAATGCTTCAGTTTTGTATTAACACTGTGGCAAAGTTATCTTGTATTTATAATTGGTAAAATAATTCAACATGAATACAGTGTCAGAGGGAGAATTGAAGTAATGTTGACAATAATACCATCATCAAATATGTTGACTGGGCCAGACTGCTGACCTGTCCAGGGTGACTGAGTGTTCCTGGTTTGGAAAACACTGCTCGAAAGAGTGTGGTTATCTAATGAAAGTGAAGA